CACTTAAAATTCTTTAATTTTCTCAAAAATCGACAGTGCACCTTATAATCTGGTGCACCTTATGCTAAAAAAATCTGTCAAATCTTTTAGTACAACTTTGGTAAGCTACGAATGGCTGCACCGCTTGATGGAGTTTCGGAGCATTATGGCTACCGTAGTCAGGAGCCTCGGGAAGTAATCTGGGTCTAAAACTCCATTTGCTTCAGCTCCCAAAGCCTAACGAACACTGTGGCATCACTGAGAGTTAAAAACTGTCTAACTTCTTTAATCTTTAATAAAATGGTCAGCTTTGCTGCTTTACCAGGTGTAACAATTAAGTTTAACATCCAGGCATCCGAAGTTATCAGAAAGTTAGCTTGCTAGCTTCCACCTAAACATGATATAGCATGTTCTGACTGAGAGATTTCTGAAAAAATTAAAACAGCTAACATCCAACTGCAGGTGCATATGACCGACGTCGCAACGGTCTTCCAAAACAGGCGCAGCTTGATGACACCATCAACATGCGCTATCACAGTAGGGCGGTATTGTCTAAATCTCTACCGTTTGGCCAAATTCATATTGTTTGTACCGTATACCGTTTACACTGCCCACCCCTACATGTGGGTAGTACCTACCAAAAGTAAAATGGCAGAAGAGAGGACATCCTATAAGCCAACAAGAGAGTCATGGGTTGCCAACAGTCCAACAAACCTGTTGCACCTTGGTGCGTATGAGAATGTCCATGCTGACCCTTGTCCAGCATCAGAGCTGTACCATGCGGGATTGCAAGAATGTGGTGGGATTAAGCATATTTTCACATTTTACGAGGACTGCTGGGTGGAGACCTAAAGTACTGAGATTTGTTAGAGGTTGATGAAGTGGCTCCTTTTTAGGTCCTAAATTGTCATCAGAGGCTGTTATGAGGCTCTTACTCTCAGACATGCCTGGGTTTGATCGTTGTTGTGCACACCAGGGAACAAAAACGGATGGTATTGCTATAATAATGATATCATTACATAACAATTATGCTGGTATGATTGCAGACGATATCATACTTGTTATAAAGTTGGATGCATTCGAATATTGGTAAAGATCTCTGCTATAAAAAGGTCTGTCAGTAGTTAAATTTAATAAAAATCGGAATTACGTAACCCATTTAATTTTAATCTCATTTATATCCTCTTTCTATTCACCTTTTGGCCATTTAGAAACTAAAAAAAAGTAGAAATGCAGCATTTAAACTGACAACCTGTTCCTTTATGAAAGGTCATGAGGGAGAGGCGTTAAAGACAAACATTGGTTTTCTCTTTGATTTTTACACCACTCCAGCTCTGGGAGAAAACATGAAAGGCCTCTCTATCTCTGCTAGATCAGTGGATCTGCCCAGGGCCTCGCAAAAACTGCCACATTACCCTCCACCACCACCACCAATGCCTCCTGTTTTGCGGCATGTCCTATTTACTTATTTATTTGTCCCTTCTCCACCCACAACTTACTTCTTATCTCAACCATTAAAATTAATCCTCTTCTAAAAATATCTGCTCAGAGACGATGTAATCGAGGAGGAGATGGTCTTCATAAGTCTCTCTCATTCTGCTTCGCTGATGAGAGCTCTAACATCAACTTATGTGATGTAAGAGCAGCACTACCTGTGTTTGTGAAGCAGAGATCTTAATCACACGCTGCCATAGTTCATTGCCTTCTGAAGTCTGATTGGGGCTGCATGTCTGCATTCTTGTTTGCAGTTATGGAAAAGGATTGCCTGGGTTTGTTGACACTGAGTTTTGAAGCCGTATGAATATACTAATTCAGCTCTATGGTCCTCCTTAAATAGCAGTGTTGCCTTGACTTCCATTGAGTTTAGAAAATAGCTAAAAAGCAGTCAAGGAAAGCGTATTATTAGACTACGAGAGCTTAAAAATGATGTTTGTGAAGGAACAGGGTGCAGGTGATGTTTTTGAAAAGTCATATTTGAAGTAAATAAGGAGGGAGGGAATGGCATCAGAATAGATTATAAAAGGAAGCTTTTACTCCTAATTAGTAAGTTGTTTCATAGTGAGCTGCTCTCGCCTCTGTGTGTTAGTTTTATATTACCGCAAAGAGGCAGTGCAATCACGGCGACCTGTGAAGCTGTTCAGGTTGGGTAATAACTGTCCCCCCTGTG